GCTAAGTCAGAAGAGCAAGCTGGGTAAAATGCAACTTGCACTGGATTCCATAAAAGTTGTTACCAATAGTGTAAAGCGTTAATATGTTATGCAAGTGTTATCAGGTGCTAAATACAGTTACTTTTTATTATTCTTACACTTTCAAAAATAAATGGTTTTAAACTTGCTATCTTAAATCCATAAGCCAAGGTATTGCCTTTGGAAAGCCATCCTGGAAGGAACAATGAAATGGCATTTGAATAATCTCACACCAAAGACAACCCTACAATAGGACTATAACTCAAAAATGCAGTAAGATCTATTAATTATAGAATCATAGAATCACAGAACTGTTTGGGTTGGAAAGGACCTTAAGATCATCTAGTTCCAACCCCCCCATGCCATTGGCAGGAACACCTCCCACCAGACCATGTAACCCAAGGCTCTGTCCAACCTGAACAAGGATGGGGCATTTAGCACTTCTCTGGGCAACCTGTTCCAGTGCCTCACCAACCTCACAGTAAAGAACTTCTTCCTTGTATCTTATAATATATCCTTATGTCTTCCTTATATCTTATACCTGAACTTCCCCTGTTTCAGTTTACACCCATTATCCCTTGTCCTATTGCTACAGTCCCTGATGAAGAATCCCTCCCCAGCACCCTTGTAGGCCCCCTTCAGATACTAGAAGGCTGTTAAAATTCATTTCATATGGTGGAGTCCACTATGTTAAAGTGGCAGCCTGTCTGTACAGTAGCACACTTGCTTGCAAATGTTACCATCATATAGGTATAAAAACATACAAACATTGCACACAGACAGCTCAGACACTTACCAAATGCTTGAAGTTTGCCAGAGTGGAAATCATTCAGGAGACTCAGAAGTCCCCTTTCCATTTCCTGGACATCAGATACATCTGTGAGAAAAGAATGCTGGATTGGTGCTGCCTGTGCCCCTTTTGCTTCCCCTCCCGGAGGTTTGGCTTTCTCTTTTATTACTCTGGAAAAATATAAACAAGCCAAAAAGATTACTTCCTGCTTTCACTTTCCCTGAGAATCTGAATGCAAGATAAGTGTACATCTGGGTTTTGATAATGAAATGGAAAATAAGTACTACATGTTTCAATTACTCCATTTAAATTAAAAATACAGATCACCTGTTTGCCTGAAGACTAAAGAACAACATTGCTATCTTGACAGTTTGGTACTGCAGAATGAAAAATTCCAACAACCTGCTTTCTTACTAATAAATAGTGTGAAACATCAGTGGAGAACATGTATGTTATGGCCACCTTAATACGGTAAAGAGGACCAGCAGTGACACATGGTGCATTGGGTATTATCTATGTAAAAATCAACCCAAAAAAGGCATCTGCAAACTCTCTTCAAGTCAGAGGGAAAAAACCCTCAGCAAGCATATGCCCCTGTTCTCACAAGCACCTATAGACTGCACCCAGCATGGAAAACAACTTGCTATAATCTATACCAGAAGGTGACCTCGTCTCCAGATAAATTTTCCTAGTTCCCATCCATATTAACATGTAATTGATATGGAAGCTAAACACAGAGTTACAGCTGGACAGACAGACATATGGCATCCTAACCTAATACAATTCAGGTAAGGGGTTGTTTTCACCCCTGATTTGCCCATCCATGCATGCAAGCAGCCTTTCTCATATGGGCATGGCTGCTTCTGCAGCCTTACAGTAAGTCTTTTCAGAACTGGACTCGGTGAGAGATTTTGAGATTAAAAGTTAAAATTTAGAATACTATGGGATATTAAATAAAATCCCAGACTTAATAAAGAAGCTTTATTTAATTAGTGAAGATACTAGGGTTTACAGCATACTAAGCCCCACCCTTCCCTTGAACTCTTCCAAGCTCTGCAAGTCATAAATTCTTTCCTATGGGAAGTAATAATTCTTTTTCCAGCCTAACAGTTTCTGTGATCTATAAAAATCATATAGACTTTGTAGTCTATATGCTGGAACAACTAACGGTCCAACAATTATCGTACCTGGTTCAGCTCAGAGCAATGTGTCTCAATTTAGGTTTAACTTTGGCTATTTCTACTTCAATTTCGGACATCAAGTAAGATTTGTATGCCAAAAGTTCCAACCCCCCTGCCATCGGCAGGATCACTTCACACTAAATCATCTAACCCAAGGCTTCATCCAACCTGGCCTTGAACACCACCAGGGACGGAGCATTCACAACTTACTTGGGCAACCCATTCCATTGCCTCACCACCCTAACAGGAAAGAATTTCCTCCTTATATCCAATCTAAACTTCCCCTGCTTAAGTTTTAACCCGTTACCCCTTGTCCTACCACTACAGTCTCTAATGAAGAGTCCCTCCCCAGCCATCCAGCCAGTTCTTTATCCACCGAGTGGTCCACCTATCAAATTGATGTCTCTCCAATTCAGAGACAAGGATGTCGTGTGGGACAGTGTCGAACGCTTTGCAGAAGTCCAGGGAGATGACATCAACTGCTCTACCCCTGTCCATCAGTTCTATTAAAGTCTTGCAGATCAGGTGAAAACTAATTAAATACTCCCACTCTGCTGTCATAACAGCAGTTCATCTTCACCTTGTTCTGTCCATTCCTGCTTGGAAAGTTCAAGGAATTGTCTGTACTAGCACAGCTTGTTAAACTTGACTTAATAATTGGGCAGAATTTCCCTTCCCAAAACTTAAAGTGAAAAGGACCTTTTCTTCTCTAGCCAGTATTGTGGACTGCACAAAATTACTTTCTAGTACATTCTATAATAGCATTGAGACTTAACTGTACAGTCAGCTGCAGTAACCACCAATTTAAAGCACAATAAGTTTTCCCTGAAAAACAGCAGACTTTACATTGCAGAAATTCATTATTCATCAGGCCAATATCAGATCCTTCACATAGACTATCTGTACTCATGATGATAGTGCAATATTTAATCTTCAGCTAATAGAGGACAGTAAACTCAGCTGCCTCTCTCTAGCAAACATTTCACTTTAAAATTCCTCTTCACTCGTTTATCTATTATCTGCCATGGACAAGAAGTGTGTTTTCTAACATTAAGGAAAATCAACATTCTCAAACTCAAGCACAAACTATTCCAAGAAGGTTCTTTTTTAAGAACTGAAAGTCTCTCTCTGCACACAAGTGTGGCCTGGGAACTACTGCTTCCCCTGCTGATAGGTCCCCAAGCAAACAAACACCAGGAAACTCCACTTCTAGCACATCCTGTTCAATTCACATCCTTCATTTCCTGCCCTACTCATCAGTCCCACCCTTGCAGTCATGTGGTATTTGTTCTTCACAGCTGCACATATGGAGCTCTGCCATCTCCCACACAATGCCCACATTTGCCATATTTGATCACCCAGCTCTTGTCTTTCACCAGTCCCATCAGGCCATCATCTCTTCAGTTAAACTGCATCAGTATGAGTCTGCAGCACTGTGTAATAAAAGCTTACAAGAGGAGTGTTGAGCACCTTCCTTTTCTGTAAAATAACCATTCTGTTGCATTAAACACAAATTGCTTTGCTAAAAAAGACACGTCATCAAAGAGTTTCACAAGTCTGAAGCTTACCCTTTACATTCTGCCCCAGCCAGACTAAACACCCTTTCATCTGTCTGAATAGGGACAGGTTTCTGGCTTCCAACTTCCACTGAGCTTGCAAGATGCTCCCAAGCTTACCGTTTTAACTTTGTTTTTTGTACCGCCGGCTGTGGTGCAGGATTTGAAAAGGCTGTGCTTTTACTGACCGGCACTGAGTTTTTCTTGGAGTTTGCAACCTGAGGAGGGTGACTGGTAGATGATTTGGGGCTCCTCCTCTTGATCTTCCTTTCTTCCATTGTTTCCAGTTTACTGCATCTAAACTAATCTCTTGTCCTTCAAACGGAAAGGAAAAAAAAAAAGGAAACATCAATTAAAACTGGCACTTACAATAAAAGCAAGGGAAAAAACAGGTCACAGCGCATGGCAATACAGCTTTAGAGTTTCTTCAAAGATGAGCAGTCACTCATGTATTTAAACAAGAGAAACCAGTTTTCAGAAGCTGCCCAGGCCTGCCTGATTTGCAAAACAGGCAAGAATTCAAATCGTTACACTACCTTCAGCCGACAGGTACCTCAAAAAGATCTCAAGCTTTCCATCCCATGGATTACTGCTAGAAAGCACCGTGACTAGTGAAGTCCACGATAGCCAACACGGGAAACGACGGTGGCATGAGGATGCTGTGATTCACCTCACCAACCAACCTCCGCTAAAGGGAGAGCCAACAGCTTTCTCACCACTCAGCTGGTGCCCGGTTACCGCTGCTATTACTCACGCATGTGGGCGGGACAGGTACTGCCCGGTAACACACGCGCTATCATACCTGCCATTATGGGTTCTAACTCATGATCTCCCCACCTGGGGACGCGCCTCCTCCGAGATCCCCCACTGCAGGAGGCGACAGCGGGTGCCGTGAAGGGGGCACGGCGCTGTACATCACACCAAGGGCGGCCCGCCGCCTGTGGCGCAGGCAGCCCTCAGTGCTCACCGCCATTTTCCGGGCACGGAGGGTCGGGACGCCACCAGTCACCCCAACGCCCCGGGATTTACAACCACCGCCCCCCGCCACACGTTAAACGCCCGGCGAAGCGCACACCCCGCCCCCTGCCCTGCCCAGCCCAGCCCCGCCCCCCGCCCGCGCGTGGACGTCCCCCCCTTCCCCCAAGTCTCGCCGGCTCTCACACCCCCTACGGAAGCGGCGGGCTCCGGTCACATGACCTCAGTCAGGGGCGGAGCGGCCCCGGCTGCCGCCCTGCGAGAGGCATTGTGGGAGTCCCGCCCCCTGGTGGCGGCGGCCGGGCTCGCCGTGCGGGCAGAGCGACTACCCTTCCCAGGATGCCCCGCAGCACGATCTACGCATGCGTAAGAGGAGCTCCTTTTCCTGCCCCTCCCGGCGTGAGGCCGGGGTAGCCGTTAACGGCCGAAAGGGGCGGGGCCGCGCTGACGAGCACCTGGGGGCAAGAGGGAGGATGAGGAGCTCTACGGCCACAGCCGGCTCCCAGATGGACAGCTATCTTTGACTGCGGGCCCCATCCCTTCGTGCTGCTATGGAGCTTTCCAGTGTGCACACGCGTGTCCGGCTGGTGGCGGAGGCGTCGCTGGCCGTGCTGGAAATGCTGGTGAAACAACGAATTCCATAGCTCTAAAACGCGAGAAACGGGGGGAGAGCAGAAAGGGGCTGTCGCAGCCTCGGCAGTAGCGTCTTCCATGCTCCTTGGGACTTTCGGAGATCTGTGTTTGTCGCCTACAGAGATAGAGTAGCTCGAGCGTGAATGGTTTTGTAGGTTCGAAGCTTTAGGGGAGTGCTATCATCAGTGGCGAGTCCTGTGCCCCAGAGGGCAGCACCGCTTCGGGCTCCGGAGCTCTTTCAGCCTCGGCCGTTCTTAGCCTTCCTCTCCCCGGCTGTGAGCTCCCTTCAGCAGTAGCAGGGGTAGGTAACAGTGTGATAGACACGGACGACCTGCTTTTCTCTCATACAGCTTCACCACCGCAACAAATGTTCCGGGGGAGGAGAGTAGGGTACTGAACCAAGTTAAGATGCAGGTGACCCTGCTGCCGTGTTCGGCTTGATGCAGCATTCAGTCTCTTCCCAACCTTGATTCCAGCCCTGAGCAGTTGTCTTGTAGGAACGTAATTTTGAAGGCAGGTGATACTGGCAAGGCATGTCTACCTAGCCTTAGTAATTAATACCAAGTCTGTTTCCCAATGCTGTCGCTGTTGTGGGGGAACTCTATCGCGTTTGTGGTCATTGTTTATCTCATCAGTGCTCCCTGGCTTTGTGGGCTGGAATGCTTGGCACATCTTTCCCAGCTGCAGCTGGTATTTCATGGTGGTTTTTTATCCAATGTGGCAGTAGTTTGTTGCCTAGTGAGATGAACTTGTAAGTTCTCTCTGCGATTTGTCAACTGGAATATCTTCTACTTGCAATGCGACCTTGGTTTTTACCTGAGAAACATGTTTGTTCATGTGTGTTTTCTAACATAAACTGTAAGACATTACTTACCAGCTATGAAAGGTGGTGTAATCCTCATCAACCAGAATGAAAACATCAGCCAGAAGCTTTTGCTGGTGTTTGCAAGGGTATGTCTCTATAAAAAGCTATGGCATAGCTTAGCAGATATGCAGCTAGGATGCACTCGTACCTCTGTCTAGACCTTATACAATACCAAAAACTGATTCCCTACTTGTACCCTGATCCTGAACCTCCTTACGGATCTTGAATTAGACCCAAGGGGCTATTAGATGTTACAGTGCTCCATCAAGACTTAAGTGGGACACTGCACCTGTGAGACTCATTGGTCATTCTGAGTCCAGAAAGTGGTGCTGTTGAAGAGAGATTGTTTGCAATGACTCTCAGGTGAAAAAACTAGGACTAAATGTCCACTGAAGGTAACTCTGCACAGAAAAGTTATTCCTTGCAGCAGGACACAGCTTGGGTCGGATGTGCTGGATCAGTTCTGATACATTATGAACAGTTCTGTGCTGGATCAGTTCTGATACATTATGAACAGTTCTGTTGCAAGGGATCCATACTGGTGATACAGTGACAGTTCACTTGTAGCAATAGACAGTCTATGGGGGTTTACCTGTAGGCTACAAGTCTAAAAAAAAAAAAAAAAAAAAAGGCCTGGGTGAGAAGAAAGAAAACTCTATAACATTGGAGACAGATCAAACAAGAAGGGGGTGGTACAAGACTGAAGGGGCAGACAGGGAAGCAGGAATAGTTTTTTATCATCTTTTTGATTCCTTAATAGAAAAAGTGTGGTATCTAGTTTGGCACGCTAGCAAAAACCACACAGGCTGTAAGCCAGTTACAAATTCTCAGACATAGGGCTGCCCAAGTAGAATCATTCACACACATACATATGTGTGTATATGTATTCGGGTGGCTACAAAAACTGGAAAAAAAAGCAAGATTTATGGACAGATTTTTGTAGCTGTGTGGGAGATCTGCATGAGGTAATGACTGTTTCTGCAGGGTAACTCTGGAAATGTTTGTGTTCATTCAGCTATTTTCTCACATGCTTTATAAGCAGGTAAGTGTACCCACCTTGCAGTTTGTAGATAGTGGTGTGGTTTTGAATTCCCTTGAACACACCACAAAGACGAGCAATCCATTTTAGCACACAGGTAATGTTTTGCTCCAAGTGCATTTCTTATCACTGCATACTACATGACATTAGAATTATTATTAAAATATCTCTGTTACTTCTCCATCTGATTTAGCAGAGCCTACAAGGGCAGGCAACTGGGAAAGCATCAGATTTTATTGTATGTCTTCATAATGAAAGTAATTTTATAGTGAATAATTAATTTCTTATATAAGATAACAGTAAGTTAAGAGCAAAGAATCAAAGGTACCATGGTCTTGATGTGATACTGCAAATCCTATTGCAGATAACACTGTTGTCTAGAATCAAATAAAGATATCATAAATTCATCAGGAAAAAAAAAATCTGTTTTGGATTATCTCCATTTACCTGAGCTCTTGCATAATTTTGTATTGTGGTAATGATCCGCAGTTCAGAAAATGCTGTTTTCTTCCTTAATAAGGCTTTTTTTTCTGACACCATCAAGTGTTACAGTGGCAGCGTTTGTACATACTTGTTGACTGAAGTGCTCTAAGGGTAACAGTTTTAATAGTAACAATGTTATTGTTAAAGAAGCAAATTAAAAAGTCAATTGAATCTGATTTTATTTACATGTACATCTCCTAACAAACTAGAGGCCCAGCTTTGAAGATGCTTTGAAGAAGAACTTCAAAGAAGTTATTCTGCATTTTGTATTGAGATATGCATGCAAATAAAATCAGATTCTTCTTTCTGAACACCCTATTCAGTTAACATGAGATGGCAAGTTGGTTGTAATGGCTTCCAAGACAGTGATGAAAGCACCTTGTTCTTTAGCATCTATAATTAATCTCAGATGTATTTCACAGATTGGCACCCTGTACTCATGGAAGCATGACATTATTACAGCATCACATTCCAAAAAAGAATCATAAAATGGTTTGGGTTGGAAGGGACCTTAAACAGCATCTAGTTCCAACCCTCCTGCTGTGGGTAGCGACACCTTCTTCTAGACCAGGTTGCTCAAAGCCCCATCCAACCTGGCCTTGAACACTTCCAGAGACAGAGCATCTACAGCTTCTCTGGGCAACTTGTTTCAGTGTCTCACCCCCTCACATTAAAGAATTTCTTCCTAATGTCCAATCCAAATTTACCCTCTTTCAGTTTAAAACCATCTCCCCTTGTCTTATCACAGCATGCCCTGGTAAAAAGTCCCTCTCCAGATTTCTTGTAGGTCCCATTTAGGTATGTGAATTTAGGAATGCTGCTGTGAGGTCTCCCCAGAGCTTTCTCTTCTCTAGGCTGAGCAAGCCCATCTCTCAGCTCTCTTCATAGCAGAGGTGTTCCAGCCCTCTGATCATTTTTATAGCCCTATGCTGGACTCGATCCAACAGGTCCATGTTCCTCTTGTGTTGGGGGCCCCAGCGCTGAACACAGTACTTCAAGTGGGGTCTCACAAGAGCAGAGTAGAAAAGGAGAATCACTTTCCTCAGCCTGGTGGTCACACTCCTTTTGATGTGGCCCAGCATACAATTGGCTCTCTGGGCTGCAGGTGCACACTGCAAAGTTGTGTTGAACTTCTCATCAAGAGCATTGAAGAGCATAGTCTGGGACATACCCGCGCAGATGAAATGAAGCAATTGTTTGTGGTATACAACTAGCAGCATAACAACGTATGTGTGTATCAGCCAGTTAAATGTGCAGAACAATACAGCAAAGTTGAAATCATATATAAAGAAAATTAACACTGGATTAGTATGGATGTAGAACTGTGTGGATTAGGCACATCTGATTCTGCTTTACAGAATAATGACAGATACGCTCTCAGGAAATGTCACTGAAAACTTGTCGACATGTATACTTGCATTTTATCTCTGTACATACACGCACTATGATTTGGCTAAGTGAAGGAGAATATATAAATATTTAGACTTCTATATTATCACTAACCAGTTTCCACATTTCTAACATGAATAGTCCATTGAAGTCAATACTATTACATATGAGAGCAAGTAGTTTAAAACCTCTGCCAGTATTATGTGTGTATCCAGTGTCACCTTGCTGAAAAAAAAAAAAAAAATCAGTTCTTGGTTAGCTACCAAAGCATTAAATGTGTGACCTGCTTAGAAACTAAACAAATCTTCTGCCAGAATGTGGATGCTGAATAAGCCATCTCCTTGCATCAGCAGTATGGTGATTTAGTCACCCACAGTGTGGAAGAGAGGATTAAGGAGGGGGAACAGAGGGGACTTGCTGCATCAGTTGGGAAGCAGACTCTTCTCGCTTAGCATGTCAACATGCCTCTGAAGTAGGATGGCTGCTCAAAGCTAGTCCTAGTGAGGAAGTTCTTCCTTAAACAGTTTCTAGTTATATAAAAACATGCTAATATTCTGTATGTGTTCAATAGATATAGAAGCTATTTTACAGTTACGCTTGCCTTCCTCTAAATATATATTTTAACATGCGCTAAGGTCCTCCAAGGAAAAATCACTTTGGAGCTCTACGTTAGTTGCTTTATTAACCCTGACACTCCAGTTGGAAAGGAAAAAAGTCTGCCATTGGCTCTGCCAGCACACCCAGTATTTCAGGTGTTGTCCCAAACCTAATACATTTCTTCAGGCTCTGTCAGGGATGTAGAACTAAAATTGGCGAGAAATGCATAGTGGATTTCTCACTAGGGATAATGTATTCTTATTTAGTATTATTTCAAAATGTTTTCCATGTTTTTAAATGCTGGCATGCTCTAAAAAGCTTAGGGTTTTATGAAGGATAAGGCTACGAGTCACTTAAGGGAAATGTGGAGGGAAAGCGGGAAGGAAAAAGACGTTTAGTGCAGGATGATTGCTAATCTCCATCTCTCACCATTGTCTTGCTTGGACAGTACTTGTTCACATCTTGAAATACATTATAATCAAATGATTCCATCTACCAAACTTTCACTAATTTTATCATAAATAACCTTTCTTACAGGACCGAAATGACCCATTGATAGACTTGAGAGAAGGCTTGGGTAATATGGCACCACTCCTTCAAATGCTTGCAGGCATGTTCAGTATTAGCAGTGAATTTCACATGTGCTTTTAAAATAATTCAAAATATACCTTGGGCAAACCCTTTATCCTTGGGCACCCTGCTGAATTATTTTTGCAGGTACTCATTGAGCTACTCACTGTAAATGTAACAATGTTTACTGTCACTCCAAGATCAGCAACATGATGTTTACAGAATTGTATCAAGGTCAGAACCAAAGTGGGAAGTAAATTCTAAAAACAAGCTCAAATCAGAAAATGTGACAAAAACCTTTTCTGTGCAGCTGGGGATGTATTAGTGCAGAGTATGGTTTCTGATGTATATTATGGAAATAATATGTGGAAAACATTGTTGCATTTTATTTAACCTTAAATTTGTAACAGCTGTTCTTGGCAGGCACCTGCTCTTTTCCCCTTTTAAATATTTAAATGTTGAATAATGTTAATTTATTACAACAAGATAAAACATGCATTTCATATTGCAAAGAACCAAGGTGCATCTTTTGTTTTCTGTAGACTGCTTTTTAAACTGTTCATTAATTTAGCACAAAATGACCATAATGGAAGAAGACCTTGCAGAAAAAAACCCAAACCAGTCTTAAGGTAGCAACTGAAATAACATACTTGCTGAGCTGTTTCAATAGTTTGGTGAAGTGCCTACAAAAATCGGTTTATTTTCTTTGCCAGTGTTTACACTTAATGCCAGTGGAAGAAACTACTATTCACATTCTCTCTACGAAAAACCACTGAAGAGTATTGCTAGCACCAAGCAACCCAGGCCTGCCAGGGAAGGTCCAGTAAATAAAGTTCAACTTTTCAAAGCAATTTCAGCCTCACTTCTTCTAGCGTACACAAACATGGGCTTGAGGACGCAATCTCCTGCACAGTCTTCTGATCTTCAGTCATGGCAAAGAACCACAATGGCACAAAATAGGAAGCACATAAAGGCAATTCCTACCACAAAGATCATACAACAGGTGGATATGAGACAAAAGAGGAAAAAAAGAAAAAAGGAAACAACTCGACATCCAGGATCTACGTGTTCAACTATGGTTTAAGCACAGCAGCAACTTAATTTTTGTCAAAGGTTCTGCTGGCATCATGAGCAAGGATGAATTTGTAGCTTACAGGAAAGAATTTGTAGGTGAATTCTGTTGATTAATCTTTTGGCTTAAAGGAAAACCAGGCAAACTTACTTAGAATTTTCTTCTTCAGACACAAAGCATCAAACTAACTTGAATATGCTTGTTTCTTTCTTTTTTCTTTCTTTTTTTTTTTTTTAAGGCAAATAGGACTGAGTTATTTGAAGTCTACAGTTTTTCTGGTCAGATTCATAGTCGGTCTTGAGTCACATCTTCATGTTTCTTGGGAAATTTAGTTCCCTTCCCCCTCTCTAGCTTGGAGGCTCAGTATAAATACAACTGCTATGATGTTTTAAATCACCAAGTGATTCTAATTTTTCCAGGATAGAAGATATATTGCTGAGAAGTTCCACTGACTATGTGTCTGTTCTCCCAGACAGACACTGGAAAGCATGTTTGCTATTTCAGACTCTGCTTTGTTAGACATATACAAATGCAGAACTAAAAGCAAACAAAAATCCATTCCCTAAAGAGAATAAATGTACATAGAAATATTTATACAGAAAGCTGTTTCTAAGCAATGCATATGGTAAATGGTATAATAGAGTTTTCTGTTTAATATGATTTTACTCTAGTAACTCTAATTAACAAAGGAAAAGTTAAATATTTGAAGCATTTTCCTTTGGAAGTGCTGAAAAGAAATAGCAATGAGAGGTCTCAGGTCCAAGCAGGACACCTGTGGCTGCAGGTTCTATATTCCTGTAGAATAAAGAGTGCCTGTGTATCAAAATATTTAAGGCTTGAATACATGACAGAATCCAGTGGGGAATCAGTAGCACTGTTTCACTGAAGACAACTCTATGTAGCCTAATAGTTAATGATGGCACAGTACAATAGATATTAGTGAGAAGGGTTCTATTTTAAGGTTTTCTTAAATTGATCTTCATAGAATAACGGGTTTAAATAAGGCGTCCTTAACAAAGTATATTAAAAAAAACAGCTACAGGGAAAAGCATGATAAAAAGATACAGACTTCAGTGAAACATAGCTGACTATATGCACCTATAGGTTTTGGTTGTGAATCACAGTAAATCACAGTATGCTAGAGATTGGAAGGGACCTCAAAAGATCATCTAGTCCAGTCCCCCTGCCGGAGCAGGAACACCTAGATAATGTTACACAGGAATGTGTCCAGGCGGGTTTTGAATGTCTCCAGGGAAGGAGACTCCACAACCTCCCTGGGCAGCCTGTTCCCGTGTGCTGTCACCCTCACTGAGAGGAAGTTTCTTCTCAAGTTTAAGTGGAACCTCTTGTGTTCCAGTTTGTACCCATTACCCCTTGTCCTATCATTGTTTGCCACGGAGTAGAGCCTGGCTCCATCCTCGTGACACTCCCCCTTTATATATTTATAGACACTTATAAGGTCACCCCTCAGTCTCCTCCAAACTATAGAGACCCAGCTTCCTCAGTCTTTCCTCATAAGGGAGATGCTCCACTCCCTTAATCATCTTCGTTGCTCTGCGCTGGACTCTCTCCAGCAGCTCCCTGTCCTTGAACTGAGGGGCCCAGAACTGGACACAATATTCCAGATGCGGTCTCACCAGAGCAGAGTAGAGGGGAAGGAGGACCTCTCTCGACCTACTAACCACCCCCCTTCTAATACACCCCAGGATGCCATTGGCCTTCTTGGCCACAAGGGCACAGTGTTGGCTCATGGTCATCCTGTCGTCCACTAGGACCCCCAGGTCCCTCTCCCCTACACTGCTCTCTAACAGGTCGTTCCCCAACCTATACTGGAACCTGGGGTTGTTCCTGCCCAGATGCAGGACTCTACACTTTCCCTTGTTATATTTCATCAAGTTACTCCCTGCCCAACTCTCCAGCCTGTCCAGGTCTCGCTGGATGGCAGCACAGCCTTCTAGCGTGTCAGCCACTCCTCCCAGCTTAGTGTCATCAGCAAACTTGCTGATAGTACACTCGATTCCCTCATCTAAATCATTGATGAATATATTAAATAATACTGGTCCCAGTACTGACCCTTGAGGCACTCCACTAGTTACAGGCCTCCAACTAGACTCTGCCCCATAGACTACAACTCTCTGGCTTCTCTCCTTCAGCCAGTTCACAGTCCACCTCACTACCTGATCATCCAGACCACACTTCCTCATTTTAGCCGTGAGGATGCTGTGGGAGACTGTGTCAAATGCATTGCTGAGGTCAAGGTAGACCACATCCACCGCTCTGCCATCATCCATCCACCGTGTTATTTCCTCATAAAAGGCTAAGAGATTGGTCAAGCATGATTTCCCCTTGGTGAAGCCATGTTGACTGCCCCTCATAACCCTCTTATCCTTGATATGCCTTAAGATGGCACCAAGGATAAGGTGTTCCATCACTTTCCCAGGGATGGAGGTGAGGCTGACCGGTCTATAGTTTCCCGGGTCCTCCTTCTTGCCCTTTTTGAAGACTGGAGTGACATTTGCTTTCCTCCAGTCCTCAGGCACCTCTCCCGTTTCCCAAGACTTGGTAAAGATGATGGAGAGTGGTCTAGCAATGACTTCCGCCAGTTCCCTCAGCACCCGCGGGTGCATCCCATCTGGACCCATGGATTTATGGATGTCCAGATTGCTCAACTGGTCTCTAACGCATTCCTCATCGACTAAGGCAAACCGCTCCCTTGACCTGACTTCATCTAAGGTCTCAGGGGTACAGGGCTCTTCAGGGCTGCCTGCAGCAGAGTACACAGAGACAAAGAAGGCATTCAGTAACTCTGCCATCTCTGTATCTTCTGTCACCAGGGCACCCATCCCGTTCATCAGTGGGCCTACATTGCCTCTGGTGTTAGTTTTATCTGCCATGTATTTGAAAAAGCTCTTTTTGCTGTCCTTGACCCTTCTCGCCAGGTTTGATTCTAAGGAGGCCTTAGTCATCCTAGCTGCCTTCCTACATCCTCTAGCAGCAGCCTTATATTCCTCCCAAGTGGCCAGCCCCTCCTTCCATGACCTGTAAACTCTCCTCTTACACTTGATGTATTAGTATTGAAAACTTCAGTTGCAACTGTCATGAAATACAACACACAGAAAAAATCAACACATTAAAGAACCAAAGTGGAATCACTGTGAGACTGGTTTTTGGGTTTGGTTGGGTTTTTATTGCGTATGTACAGTCAGGGATTAAATTTGTAAACTTTTGGAAAGATACCATAAGGGAGACTCCTGGAATGGGGCTCAAATATAGTTAGTATTTTCTTTTTTAATTTTAAAATTCTGGAGACCAGTAACGAGTGGTGTCCCTCGGGAATCAGTGTTGGGACCAGTCTTTTTCAACATCTTTGTCAGTGACATGGACAGTGGGATTGAATGCACCCTCAGCAAATTTGCCAATGACACCAAGTTGTGTGGTTCAGTTGATAGGCTGGAGGGAAGGGATGCCATCCAGAGGGACCTCAACACGCTTGTGAGGTGGACTGATGCCAACCTCATGAAGTTTAACCATGACAAGTGCAAGGTCCTACACCTGGGTCAGAGCAATCACAGGCACAGCTCCAGGTTGGGCAGAGAAGAGATTCAGAGCAGCCCTGAGGAGAAGGACTTGGGGGTGTTGGTCGATGAGAAAATGAACATGGACTGGCAGTGTGCACTTGCAGACCAGAAAGTCAACCATATCCTGGGCTGCATCAAAAGGAGCGTGACCAGCAGGTCAAAGGAGGTGATCCTGCCCCTCTACTCTGCTCTCGTGAGACCTCACTTGGAGTATTGTGTGCCGTTCTGGTGTCCTCAACATAAAAAGGACATGGAGCTGTTGGAACAAGTCCACAGGAGGGCCACAAGGATGATCAGGAGACTGGAGCACCTCCTGTATGAAGACAGGCTGAGAAAGTTGGGGCTGTTCAGCCTGGAGAGGAGAAGGCTGCTGGGGAGGGTCTCTTCATTAGGGATTGTAGTGATAGGACAAGGGGTAATGGGTTAAAACTTAAGCAGGGGAAGTTTAGATTGGATATAAGGAGG